GGTAAGATGGTCCACCCTTCTCCCAGGTATCAAAATAAAAGGCAGTGGATGAAAAGGGGGGCAGCAACCCAGTACGGCAGATGGAGGGGACCTGCGCCCCACACAAACAGGGAACAGTAAGCTCAGCCACAAAGGTCTCACAACAAGCAGGGCAGCTACTGTCTCATGGCAGCAGTACATAAAACTGCCTTTGCTGCTCCTTATCCATTTCCACTGTGTGGGCATGGTTTCCAGACTCCATTAATCATTCTGTTTTGCAAACCTTTAACCTTCACATATTAAAACACACGCGCGCGCACACACACACAAAACTGAAACGTGCTGGAGTTGGGAATGACAGATTTGTGTGCCTTGAGGAAGCACCTAATTCAGACGCCTTTCAAGGGACAGCTCTTGATTTATAGAATTACACAGATTCCCCAGGAGAGTGCAATCTAGCTCTTCAAGGAAGGGGCCTGGGAGACAGGAGGTGTGGACTGCTTTTCCTTCTCTCTCACTGATTCACAGAGCCAGCCTGAAAAAGTCACTTGTTCTTGTAATGCCTCCATTTACTGTTGGCACCACTGTGACATCACTGTGAACTGCTACATAGTTCATAATAATTACAAAAGGGGCATTATGAAGTCACTCAGCTCAGAGGCTGAAGCTTGCAAACTGCTGTCAGCCTCTGATTGTGACAGTAGTGCTCCTGTGCTGGGTACCATCCAGCTACAATGCACCTACCCTGAGGATTCTGTGAAATGAGACACATAACATAGGAAAATGCACGAAGAGATGCAGTTTGTCCATGTCAGCATGGCAAGCCAATGGCACACGCAAGAATGGAGCTGCTGCTTCTATGTCTTGACTAGTTACCCTGCTTTTGAAATGCAAAGGGTTACTCCCTGACTACTCCAGATGAGTGGCTTGCATAGTACTAATGCTTCAGTTTTAGTGAGTTGTTCTGTGATCTACTTGTGCTGCTCTTAGGCCATACAGCCCTGTTCCAGCCCCGGGGAGGCAGATTCTCCCCCCGTCCCACAATTTTTTAAGCTGGATCAGGAGACCAATCTGGTTCTGATCAAGGTCCTGCAAACAGCTGGGTCAGCACAACTGAGAGCTGGCACTGGGCTCAGAGGGGAGTGACTGGCACTGTCACCAAAGTACCATCTAATCAAAGTATAGCCTGTTAGGGCCCACGTCAGATGCCTTGGCATTGCTCAGAACAAAGCCAGAGCATATAAATGAGTCAGTGTGGAGATGTCATCCCTACATTAATGAGATCACTACCACACAGAGAAGGGAATCCTGCAACAGTTAAGTAAGTGCCACATTAGCACACTGAGCATAGGCCATTAGCCACCTTTCTCCACTGTTCACTACTTGCCCCTTCTCAACCCAAATGTTTGTTCTATAAGAAGGCACAAAAGGGACATGAAACCTAAAGTTTCGCAGTGTGAACTACCTAAGACTAGTACTTAACTTCAGCTGTGCTCACGTGTGCTCTGTAAGACCTGCAGGCTTTTAGGTCTTTATTGTTCTAAACAAAAGCTTTCTGGTGGTGGTGTGCTTCATTATACATTGCGAAATGTCAGCTGTTGGAGAAGGAGAAACTCTGAGCAAGTCACAAGTCATCTCTAGGTCTTAGTTTTCCATCAGTAAACTTGGTATCCATTTGGAGGAAGGCTGTAGGGCTTAGTTGGTTAGCCAATGGAGAGATGATTGCACAGTATCACCTTTGCTTTGCAAGTTATGCTGATCAGCTGAGCTGTAGCAACTGTACAAGCTCCTAACCTGGTTAAAGTGCTTCTGTGTTTGCGACCTTCCTGGCACCAGCATGTTTTTCAGAGTGTAGAGAATGGAGAGCCATTTCAGTCATTTATTGCAATTTTATATTGTATATTGCAAGCATTTTATTAAGCATTTGGTTCTGGAGAGGATGTGATGAGGCTATGAGACAAGACGACCCAGTGAAGCAGAAATCCAAGGGTCCCCACATGGCTGCATGGCCTCCATGTGCTAAGCAGAGGCATGCAGTGAGGCCTGGAGCGCAGCTTCTTAAGTGGGAACTGGGAAGTAACCATACCACAGGGCTGGGCACAGGACTGGCTGCAGGGAGTAAAGATTACTAAAAAGGTGGCAGCTTGGCAGTGTTATAATAATCACTTGGACTTTCTTTCAGAAACTTGATGCTTGAGGGACCTGCACACCCTCTATCCCCTATTCCCAGAAGTCTGTCTCCGGACACTGTCGTCAATCTCAGAGTTCATTTCCTGGTTAAACAAACAGCAATTAAATAACACAAGACAGGCAACGCCTAGAGACACTGTCTCAAACTCGCCCTAGACAGGCCATGTGACACTGGGGTCCCTGTGTTTTGTCTCTTGGCTAAGACATATTAATCATAAGAGGAATTACAGAGTGCGACAATGCGAGTATGCAAAGGGAAAGTGGGCCTGGCCTGCTGGGGAAATGCACTCTGCTTCTTGGCACTGCGGAGCCAGGCTTGTCCACAGAGGACGTGTTGGGTGGCCAGCATTGGGCCAGGTGACCCAGAAAGAAACACATCCCCTTTCATTTGCTCTGCTATGCCTGTGTAGAGAAAACGAGAGAGAATAGAAAACTCAGTGCCTCTAGTGTGTTCCTACAGCAGTTGGGACAACCAGGAGAGGCACACCATGATCTTCAAGAGGTGTTTACAAAGTGGAACCAGGGGGAAAGGTGAAATCAAATATTTGCTCCCAGCAGGAAAGTGAAGCTAAAGAAAAAATGTAAGATTTTTCTAGTGCACTCTATTAAACTGTAGTGTAGTTCTCCAAAAGTAAGTGATTCAAAGGATACTCTTTGGCACCCATCAGCTAAAAGGAACAAAGCACTAGGGGACTCCTGGTGCTAAAGGAGGGATGGAGTAGACATCTGAGACTGATGAATAGTTCACTCTCTATATTTCCTTTGGCTCTTGCAATCTTCAGTTGCCTCCCGCTAAAAGTACACAGAAATAAGCTAAAGATGAAAAAAACGTCACTGTGACACTGTTAATTTTCTATACATGAAGCCTCATTCATTTAACCCATCATCATCAGGTTTCAAGGACTTTTTCACTCGTATTCACTATTGATTGGTTTGTAATCCTCCTTGGGGTCCATCTCCCCCAGGGTGAAAGCTCACAGAGCAGTAAGGGATCTGTAGTCTCCTCATAGAAACGGAAGCCTTTCCTTTGCTCTTGTGTGCAGTCAATACTGACATCTATTTGCAACAGGCTTTGACTGGCCCTTGGTTCCTCTGAAATAGGCAGTGGTGAATTCACTTGTTGGTGCTTGAATTCTTTGCTTTTGTAATGAATGCCTAAAGTTATTAAAACTGGAAGAACCTGAAAAATATAACTTCTGTTCCATCACATACTCCTCTTAATTTACGGATGTTGGGCAGTGAAATTGCTTTGATTATGTTTCAGTTGACCTTGCTACTGGGTTTTTTACACTCCAAGTATCCACATGACTGAATTTCAGCTTCCAGCACTTCAGGGAATGTTTCATTCCATCCTACACTGCAGTTTACTGCAGGCAGAATGAGCCAGAAACTTTGGGAGGGGAAGAAAATCCTGAAATCAAGAAGTTGATCCCTCTGTAGATACAGAAAGTGGCAGATGGTTCACCATGATGATGGAATGGGACTTTGAGCAACTCAGATACTTATATTGTGTGCCAGAATACCTGGATCCCAAGGGAATGCTAATGAGGAGGAGGGACAGAGAGTAAAAAGTCTGTAATGCATTTAGCTTGAACTGGCTTAGACATTTTTTACTGCTCAGATCTGCTATGTAAATCCCGATTGTGTATCTGATCTATCAAGTGTGATTTGGGAAGTCAGTGTTTGTGGGAAGCTGAATTTGGGTTTGGGGTCCTATCAATACTTTTCATGAGGGGTCCCAATTAAGCTTCATGTTCCCTGACAGCTAGCAGCCCCCTCATGCAGAATTTGTCGAGGAAATATAGCCACAAACTTCCCACCTGATTGTTACACCAAGGGACTGCATCATATCTCAGCAAGTCCCAGTCTCTCCTGAATAGGCTTTCAGAAGCAGGATCTGTAAGCAATGGGTTTCCAGCATACCTGGTCTGGCAAACAATGTCGCAAAGTCTTGCTGCTGAACTCATCTCCCTTGAGACCACTTCAGGTCACTGAGGGCTGCTTTTCTTTACTACTACTACTACTACTAGACTACTGTTTTAGTTCCCTACTTCACCACTGCTAAATAAGTCAAACTTTTCCCAGTAGATTCCTTTCAGTAAATATTCCATGCTTTGGTCATTTCTTACCATAAGGATGAGTTGTGAAATAGGAGCGAAATACCCTAATTAGCCACTTGTACCTCAGAGCCATACACTTTGCTTCTTTCACAGTTTTCTGTGTCTTCCGAGATGCCTACCAGTTAAGTAGATGCCACTGAGATTTCAAACAGCGTTGCCTCCTGGAGTACTGAACTGTTTGCTTTCTGGAGATATTTATGGCCATTTAGCTTAGACATTTTGTTTAGCATGCAATAAAGCTGTTTGCCTCATTTGCTTCCACAAGTCTCACAGCAGTCAGAACAGTTTGGAATATGACCATTTTGATAAAGAGCTCCCTTTTCCATGTAATTAAGAGTACTAAACACATGGTATGAGCTTCGACAGCCATGAAGCTAGCCTATTCAAAGCTAAGCACTTTCTGCTTCTCTGATAAATTTTGGACCTGTAAAAATCAACAGAAAATTTCTCTCCTTCTTCAATAAGAACACGTTTTTCAAACTTGACATCTGCCTTACCAGCTATTATATTGTACTATATTACTAGTATTTCAGTTGCGGAAACACCCTGTCATGGAAAGGACTCCAGGATGCCAGACACTGAACAACAAAGAATAAAAGTCTGGTCACTATTTTTACTGAAGGAATATGTCAGTTCAAAGTGCTCTCTAACACTGCTTTACGTCTTGGAATGAGACATCTCTTAATTGTCTCTGTTTTTTGCTGTTGACAGAAAGAAGGCCAGTCCAGAGCTTACCTCATTGCCCAGGAGCTGATGTCTTCAGAAAAAGTGTGAGTTCATTGCTACAACCTATCTGTTGCTCTCCTAAAACTGAAGCTACGCAATCCACCCTTCAGCATTGGTTTGACAGCAATTAATAAAAGTTTGTCTCTTTCCCCAGATACGTGGAGATGCTCCAGCTGTTATGTATGGTAAGTAAATAATTTTAATCACTGAAACCTAATTATTGCCCTTTTGCTTAGCTGCAATTCAGAAGACATAAAAACATTGAAGGGACTGAGGTGAATTTGAGGAGGAATGGTTTAGTGTGAACCATTGCAAAGGAATATGTCTGCCACTAACCTGCCCTTGCTACAGATCCTCAAATCTAGCATTTGTCATTCACAGGAAAAAGTGTTGGCCAACAGTGCTTGCTGGGGCTCTGAGACTGGTATAAGATGCAGAATAAGCCTAGTGCAGAGAAGGAGATGGTGATAAACAGGGGTGAACCCTCTCTCTTCAGAGAGAGGCAGACAGGAGCAGAACTATGAAACATGGGGATTTGGTTTGAATGGATTCCTTTTAAGCTTCTTTTTTCTCATAATGCAATATCAGTAATATCCAGCGTGGCCTTGATATCCACACTGTGACACAGGTAGTCACCATGGGTAAACACAGACTCTGGTGTCAGAAACTCATGAGGGAACACGCACAAAGAATCACTTGTAGTGCCTGACAGAGAGCTCTTGCATGGTATAAACCCACTGGTGGCTTTGTCCTGGAAGACTTTGTGTCTCTTTAACAGCGCTGCCACTGCTTCCCTGGAGACTGGTACACAGCTTAGGTAGCCTCGCTCTCGACATCTTTCGTGGCTGTTAGTTGCAAGGCAGTAGGGAATAAAAGCCACCACAGAAAGCATGCCCACTGCTGCTTGGAAAGAGATTCCCCGAGAAGGCAAAAAGTAGCCCCAGGTTGTCCTTGTAGGACACCCCAAACCCTAGCAGTGGACAGGAACTCTGATGGAGAGAAAAGTAATGAGGTTAGCATTGTCTTGCTGCCTGCTCATTGTGCCTCTCAAGCAAGCTGCCAAAGCTTAAGAGCCTTCTCAGGCTTGGGCAGCAGAGGCAGGAGAACAGCCTTAAATGTGACAAACACCTTGCAGACAATTGCATTTTAACAAATCAGAAACTGCCAAGCTGGTCATCTGGGAACCAAACACTTTAAGGGACTTAGCTGCTTAGCTGGAGTCTACCAATATTTTGATAAATTGGTGATAACCTGCCTAGCCATTTGCTTCATCTATCCTGGCTTTCCTCTGATTTCTGCACAGCCAAACACATTATTTGACACTAGTGACACATAGTTGTAGTTATCCATTGTCTCCTGGGGAAGCCAGGGTGGTTTCTTCACCTGTGGACTACAGGGCTTCTGATCATTGAGAATACCCACAGACCTCTTTACTGAAATTAAGATTTCCAAAAATATCATCAAGAAAAAAGAAGAGAAAAGCCTCCACCAGCTTCTAAATCAAAATAGAAGAGAAACATACACACAGGAAATTACCGTGCACAGAGATTATTAGCCACTCTGCATCATCCTATTAGCCACTCTGCATCATCCACTCTGATGCATCCTATTAAAACATTCTTAATGTATTTAATTTTCCATTTCCAAGTACATTTGTACTTTGGTACATTATGGACAGCATGTAAATGCAGGGCTGAACTAGAGTGCTTGTACAGCGCACTGTATTTAGTGGAAGTGTCTAGGACGCGCCTCTCCTTTGCATTATATTCTAGCATTTTCCATATACCTCTAGGAGATAAAAGTGGCTTACTAACATGGCCTGAAAAATAGTCAATACATAAATCCACATCTTGCAATGCACTTCAGTGCCTTTAGCCACAGCATGAATGGCTGCAGACACTCATGGCTGCTGTAGCATCATGTTACTGTCAGGCTGCCTTGCCTATGCTGTTGCTGGGCCAGGAAAGGGATGCTTCAGGGCTTTCCCAGTCCCTTCAGGACTTACTTTGCCCTTTTCTCCTTCCTCTGGTAAATCCCTGTGTGGTGAATTTGGCTCTGAGGCTATCTGTGTAAACAAGTAATTTATGCATTTTCACAATAATCCTATTTTCTGCCTGTAGAAATCATTTGGAAAGAACAGGAAATGTCATTTTTGCTCTCTTTCCAAGTTGACAACTTTAACGTGGGACGGGGATTCTGGTTTATATCTTTGCTAAAATTTTTTAGTTTAGCAGGGATGCAAGTGCATGCTGCTCCCCTCCAGCTGGATGGACTCCAAACTGTTGGTAATCCCTAATAAAAAGAATCTTCATTAAAATTACAGCTCACAGGTTAGTTAGGGAAAAACTCTGCTTGATTGCTAATTTTATCTGCTGCAGTGCTCCAGAGTTGGCTCAAAGATACGAGGGAATGAAAACAGAGTTTTCCTGGCTTGACTCAAAAATGTAACTACTCCCTGCTCTCCTGTTGGGGAACTCAGACACCTTCTAAGCAGAAATGTTTATTGCAGAAAATAAGTAACATTACCTGGAACTTGGCCTGCCAGTCCTGGAATTAAGGTTTAAGGCTTGAGGGAAATTGGCTCTGTTTTAATCATACTTAATCATTAGGTTTGGATCAGCTGGTTAATTTATCATGCAAAAGATACCAGTAATAGCACTCCTATGACTGGGCAAGTTCTTCTATTTCTGTCAGTCATCAATTTTAATTGGAAGCACTTGTTTTGTATTTATATATGTTTCAGTCCTGTAATGGAATATTCCACTGAATCCTATTTTGCTGGGATTTTGCTTCCCTGCCTGCCCATCCCACTGGAGTAGAGGGATCTTACAAGTGTTTTGCATATGCTCATTATTTCCTTAATTATGAAAGTTAGAGCACCAAAAGAGGAGTTAAAATGTCAAATTAAAATAAGAGATGGGCCTAATGTAAACCCTTGAATGAATGCATTGGTTTGCAAAGTTAAGCCACTTATAGGTTGTGAAATGTCAGAATCACTGTAACCATGCACTCTTCACTTTCCCTGTCCCAGTTCCCATTGTCTCAAGTTAGAAAGTTCACAAAGATTTGCATCAATTTTAGGATGAGATTTTGAGTGCACAATTTTGATTAATGATTTTCTTCTGCAGTGGAAAAGTATCCTTCTTGCCACATCACCAAATGCATACACTCCTTTAGGGGTTACTGGAGGCTTTTTTCAGCAGAGTCAACAAGCAAGTTTCTCAAATAAGATTTAATTGTTTCTCTGAGTTGGCTTTCTAAGTAGTGAGGATGTATGAATGCACCTGGGTTAGAGACTGAGGGAGAAGAGAGGAACAACCAGTCTGTTTTCACACTTGACTGCTAGTTCAGGCACTCCTTGGTTTAGAAGAGATCAAAAATCTTTATGGGAACAGGATCAGAGGGTTCATTTCTGTGTTTTAGCAGGTGCCTATAGCCCTAGCATACCACATCTCTACTGCTATAGACTGATGTCTGCATGATAGCTACCTACTGCAGCGGCATTCAGAAATAATCTGCAGGTTTCTCTGTTGCAATCATGTTCAATCTAGAAAGCCACAGTCCCAGCACTGTTACCTTTCCCACCCCAACTACTATTGGATCTTTATATTCACCTGTTGCCCGGTGTATTATTCCGGAAATCTAGAGAAACCATTACCAATTTTACAACATGTAAGTCCCTCAGACTACAGGGGTATTATTGCCTAACTGAGGCTTTTCAATACTGTCATAGTGCAAAAAGTTACAATGAACTAATTACTCCTTTTTGCATATTTGAATAGCATTAGGTATATTCATATCAGTAAAAAATTGTGCTTCGCTGTGCACTTGCTGTTGACACAGGTCCCACTGGCAGATGTCACAAGCAACTACCAGTGACCACAGAGTCACCAAACTGCCCTCAAGGTACAATACCTCATTCATGGCCAGTTAGGACCAAAGGCTTCCTCGACAGCATCTCAGCTCAGGCAAACATATCTCTCTGTTCCCCATCACTAACTTTCTCAAGAAAACAGTTTCTAAATGCTCATCTTCAAGTCTCAAGTCTCATCTTCTTATATAAACCCACATGTTGGTAAGGAAGGCAAGGAACTAAACCACACCCTAGCTGCTTTCAGAAAGGAAAAAAAGGCTTTGCTTAAGCCTGCAGCAGGAGCAGTTTCCCATCTCATTTCCAGGCTTGGCTGGAGCTGCTATTCATTCAGCATAACAGAATCTGTTTGGCCTTTCAGTGGAGACTTTAATAAATTGATTGATTGCCAAAATGATGACATTTCCATACACCCACTCTGCTATTGAACTGAAAGAGTGGAAACATTGTGTTAGCTCACAAACTCGGTATCAGTTGGTGTGGTAGTAGTGATAATAATCTAAAGGGTTAGCTGTTATTTGCCCTACTCAAAGGTAATGCAATTCTCTGGAGCAGGGAGTTAAGAACTCATTCCGGACTAAGCAGATGGGACTGGCAGGGCCTTCCAGTCCAAGTCCCTGATCTCTTGGTACTCACAATTTAGTTTTCCAAAGTTGATTAGGCTTTGCATTTCCTTCAGGATCATTTAATCCTCAAACTTTGTCATTCGTTTCTCCTATTTTTCTTCCCCAGTAATGCAGGATGCACTTGTCATCTTTTTCTTAGTGCATGTTCCTGAACAAAAATGCTGCAGGTTGCTTTCTCAGCCTAATGTTTCACACATCACCTTTGAGGACCAAGAGTCTGGTTTATTTGCTTCCCTTCAGCCAGTCTGTTTCAAATGACTTTACTAGATGTACACAAATCAAACTTAGAGTGACTCAGACTGCCTCAGGATTCCAGTCTGTATGGGATCAAGCATTTGCCTGATAGTGTACCATGTTCACATTTATTTTGTCTTTGGCTTTTGTATATAAAATCACCTTTTTTTGTGCATAAACCACTTTGAAGTCATTATTACTTCCCTCCAAGGCATTTACTGAATTAAGGTACCTTCTGCACTGAAAAAACACCAGCCCCAATACCTCCCTGATCAATCAAAGTTGATCCTGTTTCCTGGTTTGCATTTTCCTCATAACAATGGGCCACAATTCTTAGAAACACCAAGACCCAGATTTATGCTTCCTCAGCATTTGAACGTATCGATATGGATATGATATGAATAGATAGCTTTTGTATATAAAATCACCTTTTTTTGTGCATAAACCACTTTGA